GGGCTGCAGTGGCGCCGCACGCAGCTGCTTCCGCCGCCGCCACGATTTTGCAGGTGAGGGCCTTGTTGAGGGCCCCGTTATTACTTCCAATTTACTTATAACACTCTACTTGTGCAAAACGTACAGTCCAGTTTTGGAGATCTAAAGTGTATAGCTACACGAGGTGGTTGTAGAAAAAATCTACTATGAGTTGTTATTTGTAAGATTTTCAGTTTCGTAAGCATTTTGGGGGGTTTCTGTAGGGAAAGGGTCCGTGTCAAAACCGCCCATTTATTATTATGCGATTTATATTTACGCGGTATTAGTTTTTGCAAAAATTAAGATTGTCTTTAAAATTAACAGAATTAAAATGAATAAAAATAAGAAATAAAAAAAGGAATGTACATTGAGAATACATTTTATTGAACGTTGATTAAATTATTTACACAATCCTTCCAATTAAATTGAAAGCCTCTGGTACAATCTTTGAATATGCATACGAACTTTGCGCAGTTATTGACATTTATTTTATTGATTTTGTTATTTATAATTTTTTTCAAACTCGGGGAGCTGAAATTCTGTTTGAAATATACTTTTTGTTCTTCCTTTGTCAGTTAATATATTAGGCAACAGCGCCGACATCTCTTTCTCAACGGCAGATTTAAAAGACGACCAGGCAAGTCAATAGGATTGAACATAGGACTAAAAGGACTTAATCTCAAAAGGCGATGTTCTATAAATTCTTCCTCCATAAATATTTGTTCGATGCCGTAAGGAGAACAAGCAATGTCTATTACCAGTACCACGGCCGTCTGGAAGATATTTTCAGCATCGCTGGAACAGTGATGGACCATGCTGTTCCTATTTTCTTTCGCGAAAGCACCTCTTCTTACTTCGTGATGACCTAATCCTACATTACCAATACAACCGATAACATAGACTTTTGATTCATGACTCCCCGCTGCTATGTAAAAACATCGAGTTCCTTTCTTAGAACGTACTTGCTTTTGCGAAATAAATAAATTACAGTTAGTTTTGTTCATGTATACAATAGGAACAATTTCTGCTTGATAACATAATAGCTGAACTGCTATTCGTGATGTTTTGTTTTAATTCCATCTCTATTTTCTCGTGTTTGTTTCGAACATCCTTAAGTGTGAATAATAAACCATCTGAATGCCTTGAAGTCTTCTGATCAATCAACAATTAATTTACGATGTTCTTGAGTAATTTTCGCCTTCCTCCTTCCTCCCGAGACTTGCGTTCGCGCTGACTCTTCACCCACCCACAAGCACTAGATCTTTCACTCCAAATGGATTCGCCAGACCTCGTCATTATTGTTCAGTAAAGCACATATTTGCAGTTTGATGCTTTCCGCCTCTTTTTTTAATATGCGGCATAATTATTCAACGAGAAAAACTTGTCTGGAACAACTAAACAGAACTCAACTATGCACATAACCCATTCTCTCCTAAAAACAACGGCCTGTATACTTTTCGTTTTGAAATTCTTTGGTCTCAACATGAAAATGATACGTCACAATTTGAGTGTGACTTGTCTCAACTGAATGTCATATGTCTCTTTTGAGTGTGAACGAGTTTTTTTCTAATTTCAGTGTGTTTGTTCACAATTTGAGAGTGCTTGTTCCGATTTTAATGTGTTTTCATAATAATATGTGCAGATACTTACAGAAGTACGATAATATAGCTGACATGTAAATTATATAATAATAATAATATTAATAATAATAATAATGGTAGAATAATAATCAAACAAATCAATAAAATTACGTACAAAGTACTCAAAGTTTCGAAAAATTCTATTACATGACCGTATTTCAAGATCTATCTTTAAGGAACAGCTTTAATTAAGGAAAATATCTCTACCTTTGATATTTTCGTTGTAGGAATATTCCAAACAAATTTTGAACTTCTGCAATTTTCAAAAAATCAGGATTCTTTAACGGACATAAACGCACCATTCTCTTAAACGTCTTTCACACTATCCAACAACAAATTTTAATAAAAAATGATTAATCCATTTTTTTTATTTTGAAAATGTCCCAGGGGCTTAATGTAAAGTACCAGCCCCCAAATCAAAATATGGATTTCAAATTCAAAGAGCCACGACATAAGCCACATTGATTGAGGAATGTGTTTTGAAGAAAATCGGCTGAACAGTTAAGACGCTAGTGTTGTGACACACGTTTTGCCGTCAATCGATTTTTTGTTATCAAGCATCCACAAAACATGTATTCTAGCTACATTCCGTGATAGAGGATTTATTTGCTAAATTTCACAACTGGATTTATCCATTTTTTCGTTGCGAGTGTTCGGCAATGAAGAGTGTTTTTGCCGCTTTTTCCCGTAGCATTTCATAACTTTCTTTTCATAACAAGTACCTTCTTGAGAAAAGTGAGAAAGGCGAGAAAGTGAAAAAAATATTGGTCATAGTATTTCGAGAAAAGTGATATAAAGTCGTGTGTCTTAAATTAGGTATGTACGTTACACTGTGAAAACCTCACACGCTCAGTTAACCCGAAATAAAATTAACACTTAATTGACCCTTAGTTCAAAATTGGGACGTTAGAAATTATTCAGTAGATAAAATGACGAACAACTTTCTCGCTGAATTTCTATTTTCGTTTTTCTAAGAATTATTCGCTGATGCTTAGTATAGGAAGGCTTCAAAAACAGGTAAATACAGCGACAAAACAACGAATACAAGTATTCTTTAAAGTAAAGTGACATAATTGTTTGAACACTCATTCCACTATGTACTCTCTGGAAGGTATTCAAATGTGCGTACTTCCTCAGAGTCATTTGGCCTTCGTGTTGGCGCGGCTAATTCGGTCCTCGTCGCACGAAACCAAACAAAGTCGAAGGCTGTTAGCAGCTCTTATCTGCACACGGCGGCGCTAAGTAACCCGCAGCTCCTTTCAGAGGCTGCAGGCGCCTTCGTAAGCAGGGCAACTGAAGCCATTGGCGAGTCAGCTTTTGTTATCAGTGAGTTGATCAGACGGGTTATTTGCCACAAGGAACCAAACAGCCGAGAGCTTCGCCTCAGCGCGGCCGACTGCTGCCGCCTCCGCTCCGCTTCGCCCCCTGAGCTCATCGCGCGGGGCGCCGGCGAGTCGTCCATTCGCCCGCAGCGGCGCGCAAGGACCTGTCAGCTGACGCGTGGTGAGGACGAACCAACCTCGAACTTCGCCGAAAACATCGAGTGAAGCGGCAATAAAGTGACCAGAGAAATCCACATTTACACCAAACAGGTATTCTTCTTCTTCTTCTTCTTCTTCTTCTTCTTCTTATTATTATTATTATTATTATTATTATTATTATTATTATTATTATACCAACAAAATATGTTATGAGTCGGTAAATAATATAGTCAATTTGGGGTTGCAACCAGCTTCCTAAGGACTATCAGGACTATCTAGGAACAATCGGTGCCTCTACAATAAGTTGCGCAAAATGAAGTATTCCCAATAAAACAATGCCTTGAACTTCCCTGTGATTTAAATGAGCTGGGGTTTTTGCCATCTTCTTACACAAATTTTGCGGAACAAATTCCCTAGCACCGATAACTAGCAGGACGACCTTTTTACACTTATTATTATTATTATTATTATTATTATTATTGTTTCTTATTATTCCGTTTTCTTTTCATCTCCCTGTCTTTTTTCCTTTTTTTCTCTCCCACATTTCTTACATGTCGCAATTGTTTTCTTCTCTATTCCTTCAGATAATTCTCTCATCTCTCTATAAGTTGCCTGTTTTTCTCATCTTATTAAGTGTTTTCTTTTTTCTTCGATTGTATTGTTGCTGCCATCTTTATCTAACACTAACGTTAATTTTTTTTAAATTTTTAAATTTTTTTTCTTACTCAGATTAACAAATTCTTTGGAGGTTTGAAAGTGTTGAAACCTATAAAGTTTATAATGCACTGTACAGTAAAGTACTTTGCACTCTACTGACCATTTTTGTCTAAATATTTTGAGGGGAAGTGTTTTTTTCGTCATTATACAGGTGGCAATGTATAGTAAGTCAAAAAATAAATTTATATTATCAGGATAAGGACATTGTCTTCAGAGACAAATGATCACAGTTGAAAGTGTTCAACGTCATCATCATGATCATAATAATAGTATTTTTCTTCCGTTCTATAAGACCCTTTTTGGAATGAATGTGTGTAAGTATGTGTGATTACATACGCAACAGAAATGAGAAGAATACATCAATACCTCCTGCTGATAGTACAAAGAGCAAGATATATTATCCGACATCCAAGAAAAA